ATACAAAAACAAAACAAAAATAAAAATGATAATAATGGAAGAGGTAACTGAAGGCAAGTGCCCAGTGGTGGCATAGGAAGAAAATCTGATGTAGAGCATTTTGCAAGTCTCAATGGATAATAAGTATGGGAAGTCCTGCTGGTGGCTTCCAGACACAACCAGCAGCTATAAGGAAGCCTGTCTGAAATTGCCCCTCATCCCTGGAAAGATAAAGAAATAAAGTCACTAAGCAGAGCTCCAGGATTACAGTTCACCTGTAAGTTTGACAACAAAGAAGCTATTTGTTGTGAAAAGGCCACCAATATCTACCTCTTTTGCTGACTCCCACATCTCCCTTTTGCATCAATATGAAGCATAGCATTGATTCTTCATTATTTTAGATATCAGGTCAACATCAGCCCAGCACCATATGATTCAGTTTGAAATTCTTTTATATTGTCTGCAAACACTGTAGTGAATGAATTTCATGTTGTAACCTAGTTTTAGTTTAGGATCTGGTTGAAAATTCTTGTCAAAACCTTCCTGCCATAGAACATTGTTTCTATTAAGTAAGTTAATTTAAATCTACAACCAGATACTGATATATACATATATATGTAGATAGGTGATAGATAGAAAGAAAGAAAGATAGATAGATAGATAGAGCATTTAATAAAGACTAAAATTTGTTGCTAATATGCTGTTTAGTCTAGGAATAGAAAAATGGGCATTAACACATATTTCCCCTGGCAACAGTCATTGTTTCAGAGAATATGATTTTGTGTTGGTGATCTCTATCAAAGTGTAAGATCACAAGTCTGTGACTCTACAAATGCCACTTCTAAGAAGTAATCCTATGAAAATTCATGCACACATACATGGATAGAAAAGGTCAGGTTGTCATGGAAAAAAGAAAGTATCTTCAACAAATTGTGCCAGATAACTGGATGTCAACATGTTGAAGAATGTAAATAGACCCATATCTATCACCCTGCACTAAACTCAAGGCCAAGTGTATCAAAGACCTTAACATAAATCTGGTTACACTGAACCTGATAGAAAAGTGGGAAATAGTCTTGAACACATTGACACAGGAGACAACTTCCTGAATAGAACACCAATAGCACAGACACTAAGATCAACAATTAACAAATGGGACCTCCTGAAACTGAAAAGCTTCCGTAAGGCAAAGGACATAGTCAATAAGACAAAGCAGCACCCTACAGAATGGGACAATATCTTCACCAACCCTACATCTGATAGAGGGCTGATCTGATCTCCAAAATACATAAAGAGCTCAAGAAACTAGACGTAAAAAAAAATAATTAAAAAAAGGGGTACAGACCTAAACAGAGAGCTATCAACAGAAGAATCTCAAATGACAGAGGGATATTTAAAGAAAAACATTGATGGCACCCATGAGCTGGAGAGGATGCAGAGCAAGGGGAACACTCCACCACTGCTGGTGGGAGTGCAAACTTGTACAGCCACTTTGGATATCAATACGGTGGGTTCTCAGAGAGTTGACAGTCAATCTATCTCAAGACCCAGCTATACCACTCTTGGGCGTATACCCAAAGGATGTTCAAACATACCACAAGGACTCTCGCTCAACTATGTTCATAGCAGCTTTATTTGTAATATCCAGAATCTGGTACAATACACAATAGAGTATCACTCAGCTGTTAAAATTAAGGTCACCAGGAAATTTGAAGGCAAACAGATAGAACTAGAAAAAAAAGTCATCTGGAGTGAGGTAACCCTGACCGAGAAAAACAAACATGGGATGTACTCAATCATTAGTAGATATGAGCTGTACAATAAAGGATAACTATGCTACAATCCACAGACCCAGATAGACAAGGTAATAAGGGGGGTTCATGGGGTGGAGGAGAACATACAGATCTCCCTGGGAAGGGGAACCAAAAGAAATTTCGTAAGTGATCTGAGAGCAGGTGGGGATGGGACCTTGAGGGACTGGGTTGGGACGTAAGAGTGTTAAGGGAGTACTGAAAGAGATGACTGGAAAGGGGAGCATTTCAGGGTCTGGTAAAAACCTAGTGCAAAAGAATATCTCATGAATCTACAAAGAAGACCCCAGCATAGAGTCCTAGCAATACTAAATATGTAGCCTGAACTGGCTATCTCCTGGGACCAGATTGGTGTCTAGCCCAATTGTCATCAGAGAGGCTTTATCCAGCATCTGATGGAAACAAATGAAGACCCACAGCCAAACATTAGGCAGAGTTTGGGGAATCCTGCAGAAGAGGAGGAGAAAGGATTGTAGGCACCAGAGGGATCAAGGTCACCACAAGAAAACTTACAGAATCAACTAACTTGGGCTCATAGGGGCTAGCAGGTACTGAACTGACAACCAGGGAGCCTGCAGGGAACTGACCTAGGCTCTATGCATAGATGCTGTAGTTATGTAGTTTGGTCCTCTTTTGAGATTCCTAACAGTTGGAGTAGGGTCTGTCTCCGACTCTTTTACAGGGTTTCAGGACCCTACTCTTCACACTGTCACTCCTTGCCCAGCCTTAATACATGGGGAGGTGCCTAGTATTACTGCAACTTGATATGCCACATTTTGTTGATACTCATGGGAGACCTGCCCTTTCTTAAACAGAAAAAGAAGAGGAGTGGATGGGGGGAGAACAGAGGTGGGACAGGGGAGAGGGTCTGAGACAAAAGGAGAGAGAGGAAACCGTGGTAGGGATGTAAAATAAATAAATAAATTTATTTTTTTAAAGCTGTAGATTTAAAAAAAGAAAATCATGCATTAGAATGTTGTAAGTTCATAGAGAATCAGAATATGAAGGAGTTAACAGAGTACCTGTGTGTTGGAAAAATCCACCTCTGAATAATTGTGCAGATTAAACAGATTTTACAAATAAAAGAACTCAAGTAGTATGCTATAGTTTTTATTTGATATGTATCAAAACCTAGTTTATTAATGACACTGTTCCCAGCCCATAGTGCCATCTGAAAATAGTGGACACTATAAGAAGTGATGATTGTTGAGACATTTTACATTATTAGAAGGGATCCTACTCAATGGGATTATTGCTCCATGATTTCTTTCTCTGTATAGCTTCTCCTCTATGTACCACCAGATTTTGTCTGCCATATCCTCCATGCCATGATAGGCTGCCTGGCAACATGCCCTCAATCAATAGGATCAATCACTCAATGATTGAAATATTCAAAGCTGTGTGCCAAAATAAAACGTTTATCCTTTAACATTTACCATCTTTCAGGTATGTCTTACAGTAACAGAAAGCTAATTAAGCCATCAAAACTAACACATAGCATAAGTGTCTTTGAGTGAAGAATGTGCCAAACATATAAACATGCATCTTTTGTCTACAGAAATTATTTTCAGAAGAGCACAATGTATGCCGCCTGCTGTGGGATGGTCTGTATGTCAAATGTGTTGCTGATTGGTCAATGAATAAATCACTGATTGGTCAGTGGCCAGGCAGGAAGTATAGGTGGGACTAACAGAGAGGAGAATTGAGAGAACAGGAAGCTGGGTGAGAGAGACACTGCCAGCCGCCATCAGGACAAGGAAGATGTAAAGTACCAGTAAGCCACAAGCCATGTGGCAAGGTATAGATTAATGGAAATGGATTAATTTAAGTTGTAAGAACAGTTAGCAAGAAGCCTGCCACGGCCATACAGTTTGAAATCAATATAAGTCTCTGTGTTTACTTGGTCGGGTCTGAGCAGCTGTGGGACTAGCAGGTGAGAGAGATTTGCCCTGACTGTGGGCCAGGCAGGAAAACTCTAGCTACAGCCGCCAGTGGATGGCTGAACAAAGTAGGCATGAGTGAGAAGACAATTTTGTGATTCTTTTCATATTTCTTCAATTTTGAATATGAAGTTATATGTAACTTTAAAAAGTAATTTAAGAAATTACCTCTGAGGGTTATTCTTTCTGTACTCTTTCCACTCTACACTATAATAATTGCTTTTGTTATCTCTTTATTAAAATAATGTCATGAATGGAGGTAAATGGGAAATATCTAAATTTTAATCTAACATTATAACAAATTGTCTAATGGAGCAATATTTGCATGTTTTAAACCTCCAGTGTTTTATGTCATCTATTGATTTTATGCTAGTAAAAGTTTCATTTTGTGTTCTTATCACCCTGTGTTGTTCATAGCTTTGGTCTTAATGCATGGGGAAAAGTTTACTACTCACATAGGTAGCTTTGTTTTCAAACTTAAAAGAAATTATTTATCCATAAGATTGGTGAAATACCAGGGACATTTTAAGTATTGTACAAATTTAAAGATTCTGAATATATTATACTCATTTAGGACTGAGTATCAAACCATGGCCTCATGAATTCACAGCAAACACTCCAAGGACAGAGCCTATTCCCCAGCTCTGACCTTTATAACTGGCATGCTTTGTTTCCAATATCTTATCAGTGATGACAATTTAATGCTTATATTAGTTAATGTGTCAAGAAACTACTGTCTGCATTAATGTGTACATACCCCCCACATAATTAAAATAAATCTTAAATTGAAGCATAATCCAAGAGTAAGATTTTTGTTAACAGTCATGATTATAAACCCATTATCCATAAAGTTTACATTTATGTGTTGTACTCAGTGCCTAGAAAAAACAGGCACATGGTACTTCTCATATTTCTCTTTTTATAATCCATGAATAGCAATATTAGTACTTGGGAAACTTGATGAAATACCAGTTTACTTGAAATTGAATTAATATAATTTTTTATGTATTTTGATCTAATTTTAATGATATATATCTTCAAAGTCAGAGATATAGTCGTGACAAATGTGCTATATAGGTCATTGGCCAAGAAACTGCAAAGAAATTTGAGAAGCAATTATGTATTGTTTCATTTGAAAGCAATGATTTGGGTAGCTTATTTGGATGGAAAAAGCTCATTTTCCATTGCAGGTGATCAGAATTGTGAGGATACTCCATCCCTAAACCGTCAACCATTTCAAACCTCCTACTTTTCACCACGGAATACTTACAGGTCTGGCAGTGATTTTCTGTGGGTCCCCAGCATCGGCCAGTACAAGACTTATGGCATCTTCCACCTGCAGGAAAGGAAAAAGAAGGGAAAAGGTCGTGTTCACTATTGCTTTTTATTCTTGTACCTTCTTAATGAAATTTTCTTCTTTCAGTCTGGGGATTTGAAGTCATGCTAGAATTGAGATACAGCCCTCAAAAGTTCACTTATATTTTGGTTGTGAGCCTAGCCTTTAACAACTGAGCTAGGACGTTCCTGTGGTTGAGACAGGATGATCCAGACTTATTTTTCCACATGTGTTGTTGTTCCTATATGACCTTTCATTTTGCCTTCTAGTTTTTGTAGATGAAAGGCAGAGAACACAGGCAATCTTCTTTGTGATTGCTTCTGTGGTTCTGTTATTCTTTTGTGTCTACAGAGCCTATTTTCTCCTTGTGTGTGCATATGGAATTTTTTAAGTGAACTTGTTAAAATACTAAATGATCATTAACCTTAAAAAACGTTCACTTATTTACTAAAATGCAAATGCTCTTTGTATGAATAACTGAAGCACAATGTTCTTATATGTGAAATTGTCCCATATTTTATACGAAAAGGAAATAAGTCTATTTGTTAATATTTCTTCACACAGAAGTAAGTAGTTATATTCTTTCATTTTGACTATTGGACATTGATATTTCCTTGATCGATGCTACTTATTAGAATTTCCAAAGCTCACAACTCAATGATAGTAACCAATACTAAGAATTAAGGGGTAATAGGTCAAAGGAAGAAGCTGCAGTATATGACAACAACAATATATTATTCAATCACATTATAATCCCTCAGACTAAGAGGTAAAATTAAGCACCGCCCCCCCCCCAAATAAAAAGGAACATTTAAGGAAACTTAATGCTGGTTGTTTAATGTGTAGATCTAAAATTTTGTTACCTGAATTTTAAAGTGGCATCCTTTAAGTCCTAAGTTGAAAGTTTCATATCTACGGGTTCCTTCTGTATGGGTTATACAGAGAAACTCCGAGGAAGACCTGGTACCAAACATATTACCTGGAGGAAACTATGTGAGTGGACTGCCCTTGAACCTTGTTTCTGAATTTCACTCAAAACAGTGGTCTGCTGGCTTGTCTTTAGAGTTGAGTGCACATGAAAAGCTATTAAAGACTAAAGTCTTTCTACAGAAAGTTTCTTATTAGGAACTCTGCAGCTGTGGTGCACACCTTTGATCCCAGCACTCGGGAGGCAGAGCCAGGAGGATTTCTGTGAGTTCCAGGCCAGCCTGGTCTAGAAGAGCGATATCCAGGATAGGCACAAAACTACACAGAGAAACCCTGTCTCGAAAAACAAAACAAAACAAACAAACAAAAAAAAAACTTTGTTCATTTTCTACTATTAATTACAAATTCAACATTCTTAACCAAGATAACTCTTTTGTAAAAATATTCAATCATTATTCCCTTCAGTCAGTTTTTAAATCCTTAACTGAGGACTCTTGCTACTTAATGGTTTTCTCTCTCTGATGAAAGTGCTTGAGAGAACCTACAACGATTGACACTCTCATTGATAAACTAGACTGGACTGACAATTGCTGTGGCTGAACCTTAGACCACCTGAGAGTCTATCCTTGGAAATGAAGGCAACCATGTCCAAGCTCTGTAATGTGTAGGGTCTCAAGTCTATTTTTCTTTTGAAAAATATGGGGATCCTTTTGGAGCACAGTTTATTTAAAGCAAGCATTGGTGAGACATTGCTTCTAATATCAGGAGCATGCAATAACCTATCAGGCTGCCATCTGCCTGTTTGGATCTAAACATATTATAACCACACAATGCAAGCTCATTCTAGCTGACAGGAAAAGAACTCCATCTGGACCTAACAATATCATTTTAATCAGTGATAATGATAATTATTATTAAAAACTTACTGGAGTTCCTTTGTACCAAATTAATAAATCTAAATAAATCTCATTTAGACCAGCGGAAATTAGAAAGGACTGTGAGTCAGAATGGGAAGCAGTGAAAACTTTTTTGAGGACAAACTTTTTATGAGAAAGCAGATAAAGAGCTTTTGTGGACTGACGAAAAACTTTTAGATCGATCAATTAAGTGGTCTGTTAATTGAAGATATCTGGTCTAGAGAATGATCTGCCATTTAATCTATGACTTCTTTAATTGTGTTTGAGATAATAAAATATTTAACTTTACTCTTCGCAGCTACAATGTTACCTATTTAAAATATAAAAATAAAAGAAAAATAGAAAAAAAAGAATGCCGAACATAACTAGTATTAATAACAGACATTTTAAATATTCTATTCCCTTTTGGTTGAGTTGAATATTTTTATTTAAAGTTTAAGTTAATAATCTGAGATTTATTCCCAGATTCAGTATATCATACATATAGCATGGATATTGTTTATTCATATATTGAAGATACTTTCAAATCTTAAAAGTGACATGTCACTAAAAATAATGTTTATGGTTCTTGTCATGCAATCAGGACAATGATCATCTACTTGGAAACATGTTATATAGTATACACAGAAACAGACTTAAATAGTTTAATTTTGGCTACATCCTTGTCATTGTGAAATGCCATTCGGTCATCTTCATTTCCATCTGTGTTTATCAAAATCCTCTTTGACTACTGAAAGGATGTCTCCACCAGCAGCTTCTCTAGGACTGCCCATCTTTGGCATCCTTGGTGCTCTTTGGAAAATTTGAGCAACTGGTTCCCATACATTTAAGACTACCTGGGCTACACATTTCAGCTTTGTATCATACTGGTGCATTAGAGAACCTTACTTAAATAGGGTGTTCTTTTGCAGATGGAAGATCAGCCCTGCCTACCATGATTTCCTATCTTTGAGGAGCTTTCAATCTATCTGTTCAGAGAACATGCCACACTGTGATTTTTTTTAAATTTTATTTTAATTCATTTTTTATTAAAGAATATTTTATTCATTTTACATATCAACCACAGATGCCCCTCTCATCTCCCCTTCCACTTCCTCCCAGACTCCCTCCTCTGACCTACCTTCCATCCCCTCCTCTAAAAGGCCTCCCATGAGGAGTCAGTGAAGCCTGGTACATTCAGTTGAGGCAGGACCAAGCTCCTCCCCACTGCCTCAAGGATGAGCAAGGCTTCCAACCATAGGTAATGGGCTCCAGAAAGCCAGATCATGTACTTGGGATAGATTCTGATCCCACTGCCAGGGGGCTACACCATGATCTTTAAAGGGTACCTAATACAAACATTATTTCTATGGAGTTGTGGCAATATAGTCAGTGCCATATGTTACCAAAGTTGTTACCCAGACTTTTTTTTTTTTTTTTGGAAGTAAACATTTGCTATGTCCTTATCCGCTATCTGATTTAATTCTTACAAGTAAATGGACTGTATGTTTTGTGGAGTATGGCTAAATGTTTCTAAATATGTTTGAAAGCCAGATATGGAGGTACACATCTGTAATTCCAGTAGAGGTGTAAGCAGTTGGTTCAAGAGACAAGTCTGTGTGAGCTACGTGGAAACCCAACAATAAAAATAGCACAAAACGAACACCCTCTCCCAAAACACAACAAGCTAACATCCTTTATTTTCCACCATTTCTATTGCATAAAACTGCCAAAGAGATATGAGGCAAAGGGTTTCCATAATAATCACAAGTCAAGCACGGTGAAAAAGAAATAACCAACAAAGCTCCTTGTCATCTTTCCTCCCATCCATCTTTTCCTACCATTGCATCTGAACCTCATTGTTCTGTGTAACAGGTGCTAGGTAGACTATCAAAGAAAAAACATTGAGTAGAAAAATACAGGACTATCACCTTCATGGACTTTAAAATGAACTTAGGCTTATGCTGATATGAAAAGCTTTGATACTTTGGTTTTGGTGTTTACCCTCTATGGGGGTCCCAGAAAAACCCAATACATTTAAATTTTTCATCAAATATGCTTTTATGATACTTCCTAATAATTGTATCACAAATAGAGGCAGGGTCATTTCAACACAGACTTTTTTCCAATCATGTTCTTTTATTTTTATTTCTATTTTTTTCCTTTTACTGAAAGTAGATTTTTTTTATCACATAATACATCCTGATAATGGTTTCCCCTCCTTCTACTCTTCACAGTTCCTCCCCACCCTCCCCTTCCATCCAGATCTATCTACATTCTGTCTTTTATTATTCAACAAACAGAATTCTGAGGGATAATAATAAAATATAAGACTATAATAATAAAATATAATACAAATAAAAAGTAATAGATCAGAATGGGACAAAACAAAAAGATAAAGAGTCCAAGAGGCCGGGCGGTGGTGGCGCACGCCTTTAATCCCAGCACTCGGGAGGCAGAGCCAGGCGGATCTCTGTGAGTTCGAGGCCAGCCTGGGCTACCAAGTGAGTTCCAGGAAAGGCACAAAGCTACACAGAGAAACCCTGTCTCGAAAAACCAAAAAAAAAAAAAAAAAAAAAAAAAAGAGTCCAAGAGAAGGCATAAGAAACAGACACAGATGCATACACCCAATTAATTATTCACACTCTGGAAGCCCTTAAAAACACTAAATCGTAGCACATTATATATTATATGTTATATATACACACATACATATATATCAGTTTACACACACACACACACACACACACACACACCACAAAGGAACTGTAGGGCAAAAAGAGAGAGAAAATACATCAATAAGATAAAATAAAAAAGTACAAATAAAAAAACAACATAAAATTAAAAAACAACAGCAAAAACAAACAACCTTCACACAAAACCTTGACACAGAGTATGAGATAAGAACCCTGCAAAGATGCTGTTGAGTTCATTTTCTGTTGGCCATCTACTGCTGAGCATGCAGCCTAACCAGAAGAGTAGTATATTCACCCATTCGGACTCCCTTCCAAAAGACTAAATTTTCATTTGCAAGTGGTTATCCATTGTCAATTGCTTCTACAATTAGGGATGGGGACAGGTGTCCACTTTTCCTTTCAGCTCTAGGACCAGATCTCATGTAGCCCGTTCAGGCCCTGTGCATGTTTCCTTGGTCTATGAGTTTGTGTGAGCTTTGAC